CATGCCAGAGGAGAATAGCAGTAAAGGCATTGTTAGTAGTGCGCATCCCGTTACTTTGTTGCAGTTGACAGCAATAGCCGAAGCAACGACAGGGATGGCCTAAGGCGATGACTATCGATTTCACGAAAAAACTTCGCGCCTTTATCCCGCGGTCGACACGAACGTTTCATTTACCATTCACGTTAAACAGTTACGACATTCGCGTCGTTCGGACATTCGCGCTGTCCTCGCGTCGCGCTTTTACAAGTCACTGGAAAGTATATTGTATTTTCTCTTCTTCCACAAAATACCAAAAGTCCCTATACAAAAGTTACATTTAAAATAAAACTGCATAATATAACTGTGCATGCGAGACGCAAGCCAACCTACCCATTTTAAGGAAAAAAGAACACAACCAAAAGAATATATATGCAAGTTTCAATGCACGGCTTCCCTTGATTCCAGGTGAAATTAATTTGACTAATAAATATATATATATAAATTGACACTTGCACACTCTCTACATTGAAAAAAAAATATCTAAGAAATAAAAAATATATAATATTAATAACACATTTACTTAAATCCTAATTTATTTATTTAAATAAATAGTATAAACAATTACTGCCACACACGAAAAGTTAAGGTTTCAAGAAAGTGTATATTTTCTTATTTAGAAAGCATTTTATATTAGTACAAATAAACATATTATTAATTACCCCACTGAATAAATATCTTTTATTTCGTAAATATATATTTTTTTTTATTTAAAACACGAAGGAAACATGGCCTTTAAGAGCCAGCTCGCGATTGTTATTTAGTGCGAATAATTACCGTTTTTACATTACGGTACTTACATAATTACATTTGTCTAAATAAGCAATTCACCGCGGCGAACATAAGTACGAGATCATGGAGACGTCGAGCCGCGGTCAAACCGTGCCAGTGCACGACGCCATGCATTAGGTATATCCGTGGCGGTACGAGGAGGAGGGGGGGAGGGGAAGAGCACGACCGATCAAAATTTAGACGTCAGGATGACAGTCGCATTCCGTGGGACGCGAAGGGAACGGTTCGCGGAACGCTCGAATACAACAAGCTCCCTTGTACTCACGCGTACGCGACTATAAATATTGCACCGGCGCTGCCAGGTACACGCCGCTCTCGCGGTTACCGGTACCCGCCGTAATATTGCATCGCGAACAGCCGGTGGAAGAGGAGGATGGTCGAGATTAGTTCCGATTGCCGGCGCGCCGGAGAGTTATAGGAAGGGCCCGCTCTCGCTCTCCCGCCCGTTCCTCCTTCTTTCTCGCGCTCTGGCCGGCCGTCGCTGCACCGCTCTCGGCCAGGCATCGATCCCGGGCTACCGGCTCTCCGTGCCCGTTAATGAGTCATGTTTAATTGGCGTGGGAAGCCCGCGGCTACGTCCACGTAACGGAATTGAACCGTACCCGATGCGGCCGCGGATGCACCCAACGACGTCGTCCCCCCTCGAGATGCAACGGCGGCGTGCAAGCGGTCGCCGTTCTTCCAGAGACACACTCGGGGAGCCTGTCAAATATCCGATATCCTCGGCCGAGCCGGAGACGACGTGAGATCGACTAAACGCACGATTCGCGGATATCTGCGCGCACGAGGATCGCTGTTGACTCTTCGTAATACCGTGACTTCGTTTACGTGTGACTTTAAAGTTACATATTCGTGCATTTTCCATACATTTTCCAAATATAATTTTGCTTGTTCCCGACCGAGTGTAACACCCGTGGTTCTTTAATACTATCAAGTAAACAGTACAATCTGTTTTTATTTTATACTCTTTTATTACCTTCTATTTCTCTTATTACCTTCTATTTCTCCTGCCATTTTTTAACAAAAATCTGATTATTAATCTGTATGCCACGAACAATATTTGCTATTTCTTTGTAATATAGCTTTCTTTTCAAAAGCAAAAAGAAGAGAAATGAGTTATAAAGAATTAACGACTGACGTAAGTGCACGTGTCAATCCCAATAGATCCGATCAATGTAATGTGTTATTTTAGTGATATTCTATCGTTTCCCTTCAATATCATTAAAATTACGTAGTAAAGTCATTCTTAATTGCGTAAATAAAAGCGTCACCGACAAAGAGGTGACGAGACATCTACGGAAATTTAAGCGTCGTTTAAATATATATGACGTGACAATCAATGTGTTAAATTGTGAGGATAAACGCCGGATAATTTCGGTTCTTTTTTCGCTGATTTGTTTCATTATGCGCCTAAAACCGTCCGTTCCTTTGACGTAAGACGTCGTATCGTTCGTCTGGCACGGATAAACAGTGTGAAACTAACGCGTCCACGTTACCGTTAACGAGTAATTAACGCGTACTACGTGCACGTCGTGAGTGCTTTCTACGCGACGCGCGGGACTCTGCGAGCGACTCGCGGAGAATGCGTCTCGTCAAGTCGCGACTTCACGTCGCTCGCAGGATTTGACGCGTGCCAGCCGCGAGGCGCATCGATACCGGAAATACTGTCCTGTAACAGATGGTACGCGTCGCGAGATCGGCTGCGTACGTTCGCGCGCGATGCCCGAGGCGAAGGATTAAAGTTTTCTCTCCTCTCTCCTCGTCCTCGTTATCTTCGATTTTTACCAATAATTCTTCGCCTTTAACGTGGATATCGATGACATCGAAAAGCGTTAACGGAGAAAGAAAGAAAGAGAGAGAGAAACTAGTCTTTTTTATCTGCGCGCGTATGATAAAGTCAAAAGTGTGCCCGCGATGAAATATCGACGCGCAACGATGATTAATCGCAAACGTCCATCTTCGCCTACGACGTCGTGGCGCGCGTCTTCGAACTTTCACCAATTTTCGAGTCGGTCAAGTCGCGAGCAGATTCCGCGCAAATATGTAACACCTCGTCGGAGACGTTTGCACCTCGAGTGCAAGCGCTGCACCTGCCGGCCCAACGCGATACGATGCGACGAATAATCTGCTTCCTCGTCGACGACTGTGTCGTCGTTTTCTTCTTTCCTGTCACGCTCGCCGTGACGCACAAGCGCGTCGCGCAAAACGCGACGGATCTCTCGAATACGTTCCCCGGAGCACCGGCAATCCTCTATTTTCGTTTCGTGAAAGGATCCACGATATTTCATGTCACGAACGCGAGTGAGAGCGTTTTATTATCGTGGCTAGCTCCGCCGTGTTACCTCATAGAGCAACGTATGTACCTACGTTACAACGAGCTGCGCGTGAATGCTCGTCGAAATTGACGAAATCGAAGATGTTGAGATGGAGATCAGTGCTCGCACTAATATCCGCGTAATCGGATTGCAGGAATTTACCAAACAATTGCCATTAATCGCGCTAGTACTAATAAATAACTTGTATATTTATATATACTAATTTTTACAAAATTATTTTATATCTATTATTGTGTAATTATATTTATTATCTTATTAATATTATTATTATTTATTAATTAATATTTTATTATTAAAATTTATATTTTTTTACAAAATATAAATATTTTTCGCAACACTACGAGCAAACGTCGAATTAAGTCTAAAAGAATGAGGGAAAGTGTTAAATCAGTGTTACTAAAAAAGTGCTTTGAAAAAAATGATTTAAAGAGAAGATTCGCGATTCTCGATAGCTCGGCTACTAATTAGTACTTCACGTGCATTAAAGTGCGAGAACTTCTCGGCACATACGAGATGGCGTTGCACCATCGAACAGTATATTATCCTTCGACAATTATTTATTTATTCGCATTACTTTCTCATGATTAAAGATCTAGAGGACCTTTGATCAATCATGGATCTTTGTTTTACACAAATGTCTACCTCCCGGGAAATCCACAGATACATGGTTATATCGCATCGAGACCATCGAACACCGCGCGAGAAGGATTCGGATTCTAGAATCCCGTTTGTCGTCAGGATTCGCACGTTCGCGAGCCACCGGTTGCTCATGGTTCGAATAGCGGGGAAAAAGTGCAGACGGCACGGACGCCTCGTGAGAGGCGACGACGGCGCACGTTCGTGTTCGTCGCCGCGCGCAGTAATATGCATCGCGAATGCCAACACACGAGTCACACCCATCATAGAGATGCCCGAGCCCCATGTGGGTGGCGCCATGTATTCGCGAATAAGTCGTACGACCGACACATCCGTGCGAGGTGCCTCACGAAGCGCTCCAAGCGACGACGCTTGTTATTAACACGCGCGCACCGTTCGTCCGTTCGTCCGGAGACCGAGGCGAGATTTTATCGGCATGAATAATCGCGCGGAAATTTTAATGTCCGTTAAGAGCAACGACACCCATACCCTGGATCATGTAAGGATGACGTACTCGCGAATAACTGTACGCGAGCGTCCTCGCTCTCCGTTGTGCTCGCCGCGACATATCGGGAAAACCGCTCTAAAACTCCGCAAATAAGCGCGTGGGTGACACGTGCAACAGTCAGCCTGCTTTCTTGACATCTCTCTTTCTCTCCCTCTCTTTCTGACTAGAAAATTTGATAATTATTTCAACGATTCGCTATTTCACGTCGCGATGTTGTCACTCAAGACGTGAGAACAGAGCGCGCGCGCGAAAGAGAGAGAGACACCTTGGATCTCTGAAAGAGAATGTCAAGAATGCAGAGTTGCATTAGGTATCACAAATGTCGCGATTCGGTGAACCTTTTCAGGGAGGAATTTATCAAAGAACGGAAGAAACTAATATTAATTTGAAGTGCGACGTCAACGTGACATCAGTTATATTTTGACGAAATTTTATTTTCTCTCGCTATGAAATGTTGTGAATATCTCTTCACAGTAATGAATATCTCTTCACAGTAATGTTTATTATGCCTTTGTCGCGAGAATATTTGAATTGAAACAAAAATTAAACGTATTTAAACTCACAACGCATACGTGCCGGTATTCCTGAAGAGATTAAAGCGAGTCTCCTTTGAGCAAATTTGCTCTATAAGAGACAATGTTTCCGCGACATCAAAGTTAGTTGAATATGGAATGAAATCAACTTTGACTCACCTCCCTAGACGTCGGTGCCCCTAGGATGCAGGGGCTATCCGGGCGGCGGGGCGCACTGGCCCACCGCTTGCTCGAGAGCTCGCTCTCCTCCTGAAATAATAAACGCGACCTGTAATTAGACAAGACGAAGGTAAAGGTGATAGGCGGCGAGGTCTGATGAGCACTATTATAGCAATCGTAATGGGCGCCTTGGAAACGAAATTGCTCTTCGCAGAAAATTAGCGGGGGAGAAGAACCGACCGACCGACCGAAGAAGGGTGGTGGTGAGGATGAAATAGTCGTAGCGTGGGTAACTTTAAACGCGCGCGTGCGAATCGTGGAAAAGCGGTCCGCACGATTTCATTTATTATTTTAATTATTATCCACACTTCAAGCGAGTTTACACCGCAGGAATCACCAGCTGACAATTTTCTCTAACTGTAAATCCTTAATTCAGCTTATCTTCTTCAGGGATGAATTTATTAAAATCCGAAGAAAACGATTTGTGTGACTTCAAAGTGACATAAATATGACATTATACGACTTCTTTTTTCTTGTGAAATTTTGTAGCGAATGTTTATTCACAGTATAATGTTCGTTATATCTTATCGATAATGTCCGAGTTGAAGAAGAAAAATGAAGTTAGGGACACACGTATATATCGATATTCCTGAAAAGGTTAACTGCGCGGAGGTTTTGGAGGGCTTCGCTGATCGATGAATTATTTAATTCGTCAACGAGAGAATGAAGCTGGAGAGTCTGAAAGAGTTCAAAGATCCAGACGCGATCAGTCACCTTCCGGTAGCGCTAAAGATACTCGAGGAGCTTGAGTGGCAATCAACGCGTCACGTAATAACGCGTCGAAAATTACCGTATGCGTAGCATCGGATCGACATTCGCGCGGACACGGGCGTGCGTGTGCGTGCGAGAGCGAACGCTGCGAATTTTCATCTCTCTGGCGTACATGTACCGCGTGAATGAAGCGACCGCAAATTTACACACGCGCTTTCGCTCGTCAATCGACGCACCGCAAATCGATTTCCATTACAATTACATCCCGCGTCGAATATCGCGATGATCGAGGCTCGTTAATATTCTCGCGGCAGTGTGAGTTCGCGCGCTCCGCCTTTAATTTCGACCTCCTTGAATGGAAGTCGTGCACCAGGTGGTCACGAAGCGATACTTATTAACAATAGACGTATCGCTGGATGTAAATCAATTGCCAAATTAATACGGCCAACTCGCTCGTTGGCTCGACGGAAGAGGGACTTGCACGGCGAAGTAACTTCTGCGGAGCGCCGAACATAACGCTACGCTATTGTAGTCGTGATATAATGATAAAAATGATAGAAATGATGATAAAACGTAACGATAGCACAAAGTTATCGTTTCACGTGAATAAAGAATGTTCAAATTGCACAAGGCAAACTGCGCAAGACTTTCCATTGTAAAGCCCGTAAGTTGTAAAGAATTCAACAGAGCGGTGGAGGAACAGAAAATCTATGATGGGAAGTTTTACAATATCTATGATAATGTTACCCTCTTCGACGTACAGAGAGACGTGAATCAGTGCGGCAATATACAATTTAGAATAGCACTCCGCGACACGATTAAAGCGCACGCCTGCCGGCGTGAAATGGCAGGAGCGCGCTAATGGATCAATTACGCGAGTCACTCGAAATGAAATGGTACGAAGAGAGATCCCGCGAGATCCCAACTTCTTCCCCGGCCCGAAACCGCGGCATGGGGCGACGAAATAATTAAAATCGTATCTTCGTACGCAGCACCAGGGACCTTTTTCCACGATTAACTCTTGAACGAATGAACAGTCGTTCGAGGAGAAAAACAAACAAGCGTGTTGGCGCACCGCGTGCACCGTCAGATTTTCGACGAAACGCACACGGAGATAAAAGTTTGATTGTATTAATCGTGAAAGTTTAGCGATAATGAACGAACCGAATTCTATTTGCAGGAAATGAAATTTCTGGTTTTGATCAGAAGGCAACTTTGAGTTATAAGAACCAGAAATTCTGTGTCTTTCAATCAAAACGCGTTAATTCATTTATTAAAATCGAACTTCACGTTAATACAACCAAATCTTTTTCTCTGTGAAGAACTTAGGAAATTTTCTCCAACAAATTTTTCACGCGCTTCATGTTTTTATCTCATTACAACGCAACATTATACTGAGAGAAAGAAGAATGATTGATCCAACTAAAATTATAGTTACTTTTGGTCCCAACCATATCTTTTGATTGTTTTAACACAAAAAGATGATACATATAATAATAATAATAATATATATATATATATATATTATTATTATATATATATATATATATATATATACATATATATATATAAAGTTACTATCATTAACATATAATAGAATTAAAAAAACAAATAGTTTTCTTAATTATAATTTACAATAATTATTTCTCTCTTTACAAATAATAAACATTCTTTTCTCAATGTAGATCGCTCAAATTACGAATTTTTTCGTCCAAGTAAGGTATCAAAAAAGAAGGCTGATTTACACGTGTCAGCGACATATTCGTTACAGAGTTAATCGGCCATGTAACACTCATGTGTACTCGAGCTACGAGGCGCGAAACACCGGTATCTGTATCTACGTAATTCCGGTCGACAGCGTAATCGTAGAGCGGCCTCAAGTCGTGTCCTACGCGAAGACGACGGGCGTCTTCTTCTAGTGGCGCGGCGTGTACGAGCGGGCGCGGTTATTAAAACATTAAAACAATTACGGCTCGGCTCGCGACGTACACGAGCCAAGAGAAGAGCGAAGAAAAGGAACGAGAGAGATAGATAGATAGATAGATAGATAAAGAGAGAAGGAGAGATAAAGAGAGAAACGAAGAGAGACAAAGAGAGCGAGAATGAAAGAGAGACAGCGACTGGGAGTAATTGCGCCATCGTTTCTTGCCATCTCGACGAATATACGACAAACTACGACGACGACGCGCGAGAAGGCGAGAAGGATGCATTGTGCGGGGCACGGGCCGCGCCGCTCTCGCAAAAGGTGAGACCACCCGCGTTCGATGCGACGATGAAACAATCGCGAGACATGGATTTCGATTGAGCACGATCGGCACGGTGAAGTCGCAGCGATGCGATTCGGAAGCGTGGCTGGGCGGGTGAAAACGCGCGGATTTTATTTCGCGTATGCATTATATCCTGACTACTAATCTGATAACTATCCTGATAACTAAATTCATATCCTACGATCCTGATCAGATTGTTCCTAACCAATACTGTCTAGTTTGATATAATATAATATTGAGTTGTGTAACAAGTAATTTCGGGCTTCTCAGATCAAATGAAACAACGTATTTTACTGTGTGATCTTCTATCATTCTTCGAATACATTGTTTCATAAAATTATAATGATATGAAAATATCAATTTTATCTAAAAAATTAGAAATTTTGTTATTACACAATCCAATACAAGGTAATGTTTCCGAGTCCTGATTAGTTATGTAACGCAGCGTAGCGATACAGAATTTTATTAATAATAAGGACGATAATAATTAGAATCTAATTAATAATCAGGACAATTTAATCAAGACCATGCGATCAATTTCTAGTCAGAAAAGGTTTGTATTTCGGCACGCGGAACGCGCAAGATGTCTCGTTACCATCTCGTTATTATTGCATATTGCATTATTACAGCGCGTCGACCGCGTTACGTTTACTTTCCCGCCGGGTTTCTCCTATTTTCCGTAATGCCGCGAGATTGCGTCGCGGAAATTGAATCGGCGGCGTCTTTCGCTCTCTTTGGACGCGCCGCTGGATGTGTGTCGGAACGCAGTCGCGTGCTCGCACGCGGAAAACGCACTCGCCTGCCTTCTCGCACGGCGAGAGTTCGCGTCGGGAACGAGAGTTCTCGCGGGATCGATGGGATTTGCGCTTCCGCGAGATGGAAACGAGAACGCCAGGCGACTCACGTCGCGCTCGGAAACGAGGACTCGGCCACGTGGTTTAAACGCACGCACACATACAAATCCAACGCGAGATCCGACGCGCCAACTTACGCGCCGTTCATATTATACAATGTCGTTATTTAGGCCCGCGTAGGCGCCGCGTGAAGCAGCCGCTGATAGAAACGCGAAGCATCGCGAGGCCAGTCCATTTCTGCGAGCGGTGGCGTGCCGAAAATGGTCGCGAGAGCTCAATACATTCCCGGCCGCTTTCGTATGGAATACAAGACGCGTTTGCATTTCTACGACGCTCGGCAATACTTAAGATTGGTAATAGAACAAACTACGCCTGTAGCAGTATATCATGCGAGTGACGTAAATCTAATCTCGAGTAACTCGTTAGAAAAGACATGTCGCTCTAAATTATACTCCCATTTTCTATAAACCTACACGAAATAGAGAGAGATATGTATCCGCACTTGAGCAAGATTCGTATTACCTCCTGCCGATCTAAACGGAGAAGGAGGTATGTCCATAAATTTCAATAACGTGGAAACTCCAGACCGCCGATGCATATTGACGTTCCTCGAAATCTCGGATTGCCATTGTGAAGTCCGATAATTCGTGTTCCGATTAAAAGAAGGAGAGAGAGAAAGAGCTTTCCCTCGCGCACTGCGAGTCGACCACTTAGTTGCGTAGGATTCTCGATTTATCGCGCTTCACGGCTCAATTTATACGGCTAACTCTGGGAATAAACGGCGCGCTTATTTATATTAAAAGATACGCGCCTCCCTCACACACTCGATGTATTTATGATTTCGTGGCACGAGCCCACGTCGCCCACGCCTAAAACCGACTCGGAATATTCATCGCGGCTAAACTCGCGGCCATCGGGACTCACACTCGAATGTCGCGGTCGCAATCAAGTTCCTCGTGTTTCGCGACGGTAGAAAATATCTAATTAAAGCATCAGACGCGTACCGGATTCGAGGCGAATCGCGGCGGTTTCGCGACGCGAAGTAGATATGGGAATTGTTAATTAAGCGGATAGCACACATCTTCCAAGCAAAGAGTGGTCAGGAGGCTTTAATAAGGTGAACCGTACGCGTGTGCATGAACATGATAACATTAGATCGAACGATTGCATGTAAATCTTCGCCTTCCATTTAACTCCG